GAATCCTCTCACCCTCCACATCTCTGGCCTGTACCCCAGTTCTATATGAATAAATAAATAAATCTTTTAAAAAAAAAAAATGTGAATAAGAAGCAGTCCTTGCTGTGTAGGAACTTCTCAGCAGTGATTGTGACAGTCAGTTCAGACAGGCGATTTCAACATGATATGACTGTATCTGGGCTGCAGAGAAGCCCTATCACACCTTGGTATAACATGACTTTCTGATGGACCACTTCTAGCTTGACTCTGAAAAAATGAGTTGGACTAGGAAAGATTACCGGGGCACAGGAAGATTGCCGGGCCATGTCTGAGAGCGACTGTTTGATGAAGAAAAACAGCAGCTTTTATGTTTTGTCCAATTCTCCCAGTACTGCATTTTCAAGCAACAAATTAAAAGACGACATAGCCAAGAAACTTGCATATTCTAGCAGGGAACATAAGAAAACAACAGCCGAGAACTTTACATAATCCAGCAGTGAGAGATGCTAGGAATTCAACATCCCCGTAAAAGAGATATAATATTGAGATCAAGGGAATGGCAATCATGATAACAATCCAGATATAATGGAAAAGCAAATAGCATAGAGAACCTTCTCTGCTGTGAGTTGGTTCACTTCTGTACCTCGGTTCATTTATTATTCATTTCGGTATGAAACACAGTTCACTGGACAAAGGCATGGAAGATTTCTTTAATAACTCTCAGTACTAATTTAATTCTACTTAAACACACATATTCAAGTGAATGCCACATGCTTTTCAGCATGATTTTATGTGTAAATCAGGATAATATGTTTTCAGGTCATTAAGTAAAAGGAAGCATGAACTAAAACCTATTTAATCAATGAGGTATCACCTTTAAACTGCCACAAGGTCATAAAAAAGATAATTTCAAAGCTATAAGTTTCCTAATTGTAATCAACAACAATCTAATGATGAAAAAAAAGTATGTTCTAATGGCTGTAATAAACTTTAGCAGATCACTGTCTGTCTCTGAAGACGTTTGCTTCCTCTTTGGTTGAAAGATCAATTCCCCAATTCTGGATTTCTGCATATAATAAGAATGCCTACATCACACCCGGAGGGAGTGGGCCTGCTGAAGTTTATGAGAGTTCATGAATCAGCTTGTACAGGATGGATGAAGGCAAGCTCAGCAGTTGACTTCTGTTCTACTGTAACATTGTAAAAGAATGTATCAGCTTCTTCCTGTTTGTATATTAACCCTTCTGCTTGTTCAGGGATAGATGCACTAACAATGCTAGCAATGGGAGCCAGCTATGTTTATCTGAATCATACATATATGTGTATATATACACACTTATATACACATATTACAAATTAGGCTGTGTAATCTTAAACACATGAACAATTAATTAAATTAGTTCTATTTTGTGAATATGATACAAACTGGTAAAAATTACAAACTATGTCAGTATGTCATAAAAATCAACCAGTCATTCATTTCCATATATACAATGTCATTGATCAGTCTCTCCAAATCTTTCAAGCATTCTTTTCTTAAACAATGTGGCTTCTTCCATTGAGAGTTTCAAGTGTTTTTAAAAAACATCATTCTGGCCCTCCCTGGTGGTGCAGCGGGTTAAAGCACAGCACAAAGCAGCTTAAGCCACTTTCCTATGAGTTTGATCCCCGCCTGTCCCGGAGGAGATCCACATAGTGAGGCAGACCTCTCCTGACCTGCCCGCTGTTCCCCTCAGCAGTGTACTTCATCAATCTGCCTGTTCTGTACCCAACTCTGTCTCTGGTGAGTCCTCTCACCTACCGGATCTCTGGCCTGTACCCCAGTTCTGTATGAATAAATAAATAAATCTTTAAAAAAAATCATTCATTAAAAAAAATCACTCATTAATTCTGTTAATCCATAAAAGGTAGATGGTGGTGAGTGGTTTTTATGATACAGCAGGTAAGAATTATTTTCTTGAGAGAAGGACTCCATGCAAACTGCAGATTAATGGCTAATTTTCCCCTTGCGATGAGGTATTTGCTGCTCTTATAGCCTTATGGCTACAGAGGGATTTCTCTAACCCCGTAGAATATAGCTAAGCTGAGAGAAATGTTCTCCCTTAGTCCACAACACACTGGTTCTGGAAGCTGGGCCACAAAACAGAGATGGGGGTCCTGGGGACAATATCCTTGGTATTTTGAGAAAATAGCTATCCCTGAACATTCAATTGGGAATCATGTACTTATAATTTTAAGGCGTTTCTGTACATATCAATCTGAGAGGGAGTTTTCTTCTTAGCAATTAGTGCCTACAAATAGTTAATTTAAGAGGAAGAGTTAATGACAGGTCAAAACAATCGTTCTGAATTAGTTAGGTCAATTGTTTTTCATAGAAATAATGAAAATAAAACCATTCACATTGATTCAGTTTTCACCTATGAAAGTGACTCTGCTGAACTGTAATCATTAGGACAGAATTTCAAGGTGTTTTTTTTTGTGGGCTGAGTAGAATTTTCTGACTCTATTACCTGTGTTCTACCCTTTTATTTACTTATTTATTTTTGCCAAATGGAAAGGGTTAATAGACATTTAAGCTAGTTCCTTAAAAGCCCAGAGTAAGCATTCTTCACATCAGAACACTAAAACTCAAATTAGAAATATAAATTTTGCATTTAAGTGAAGTCTAAGACACAAAAGCATTTCCAAGCTTCCTTAACATACAGGAAGCTAAATGCGTGTGTGTGTGTGTGTGTGTGTGTGTCCATATACCCTAAACAACAAAACAATAAATCAATATTAACAACTGCCTCAATTCAATCAAATAAGACAACAACCAAAGCCACTGGCAAGACAACTGAATCTTGAAGTTCTTTAAAAAAGTAATTATAACAATAAGCAAGTTCATTGGAGACTTGGGGCTAGAACAGCTATATAAAGATAGATACCAACATTCCTCATAGACTTACCCCCGGGGTGCTCTGCAAGTGCTGGGGGACCCCTTGTCGAGCTGTCGGAGCTGTCTGAAGCCTCCACTTGCACAGTACAGTCAGGAAAAGAAGCCAGGCCATGGATGGACACACAAAGGTTGTTCTCTTCGGCACTGTGTATAATTTGTGTGCCATTCAGAAGAGTGCCATTATTGTATGCTGATTAAAGAAGAAAATCATTAAACTTAGTGCAAGCTTAACTATTCTTTCCTGTTCCCATCTGTATTGATGCTCTACTAAATAGAACCATAATACCACACATATCCATCCCTCCCCTCCACCAAAGAAGCATTACATGAGCTACTGCCAATGGGTATTCTTTTATTTTAGTATTTTATGAATAAAATGTTCCCTGAGTTAACATTATTTTCTTTAATTCATTCACCACAGAGAATAGAATAACAGGATATATATTTTAAGATAATATAAAGCCCTGTTATTAAGTACCATGGATATAACTTAAAAACACTATGCAGACATAGAAACTGATCATTTGATTAGATTATTTACAATCATTTGAAGCTTTTCAAATTCTTGAATTTTCTTTGAGGTTCAAACTAGTGGAAATCACTCTTTTCTCCTCTTTATCCCCCCAAATAGAATGTTCTGTCCTTATGTGAAAAGTGACCTTGCATTGTACAATAAACCAAATGTAATAGTTGCTATATTTACACAAAATATATTTTATCACAATTCAACAGCAGAAGCAGAGTATAGTGCAAAGGAAAGTACATACGTTTGAATGTCAGGGAGTTCTGCATTTGAACCTGGGTTTGTCATCCTTGAGTAGAATGGTCTTTGCTAAATTATATAATATTTCTAAACCTTGGGTTTTTCCTTCATGAACTAACAGTAAAAATACTTTGATTACAATGTTATTGTGAAGGTTGAGCTTATTTCTTTACAATATGTATCACTGTACATTCTTTACGTGACATACAGTAGGCCTTCATCTACAGCAGCAAGGACTGTGGATGCTGGATACTGAATTTGTTGTAATCTATACATATACTGATACGTTCAAACAAACTTAGAACTAGCAAGTGCTTAAGAGTTATAAAGTCTGCCTTTTACTTTCTCAGTGGCGAATCCTTACATTCTCGTTTCTTCCATCCAATAATATATAATTAATCAAAATTCTAAGGTCTTTCAATTAACAAAACACAAATCTCACCAACTACCACTATACCATTCTTCTATTAAATTATACCTCAAACATTGAAATGAATAAATATTCACTGATACAAAAGAGGTATTATTTTCTCTATGTGGGAACACAAAATGTGAGTAAGGTGGACAAAAACTTTAGAAATACATAAAATTAAAAAAAAATATTTATAATGACTTGGAATGGAAGATCCAGTTGAAAATTTTTTTTTTTAAGATTTATTTATTTGTGCATACAGAACTGGGGTACAGGCCAGAGGCTCAGGGGCGGTGAAAGGCTTCACCAGAGACAGAGTGGGGAACAGAACAGGCAGATCAACGAAGTACACTGCTGAGGGGAGCAGTGGGCGGGTCAGGAGAGGTCTGCCATGCCATGTGGTCTCCTCCGGGGCAGGCGGGAATCGAACTCATGCGGAAGCGGCTTTAGATTCTCAGTGCTGTGCTTTAACCCGCTGTGCCACCAGGGAGGGCCCCAGTTGAAAATTTTATTGCAGCAAAATACGCAGATATAAGTGTTTTCCATAGCCAGAAGAAATCCCTAGTCTTAAAGAAGAATTTATTACTCTGAACTTAAAATTGGCATATCCAGGGCCCTTCCTGGCTGGTGCAGCAGGTTAAAACACAGCACTAAGAAGCTAAAGCCACTTCAGCATGAGTTCAAATCCCCGCCCCGGCGGTGACCCACATGGCGCGGCATACCTCTCCTAACCTGCCTGCTGCTTCCCTCAGCAGTGTACTTCGTCCATCTACCTGTTTTGCTCCCCACTCTGTCTCTGGTGAATCCTCTCACTGCCCCTGCACCTCTGGCCTGTACCCCAGCTCTGTATGCATAAATGAATAAATCTTTAAAAAAAATGGCATCTCCAAAGGAGTGGTTTATTCCAAAAGGAATAAATGATACCTATAGGCTAAAACATGTGAATCACACTTTCCATTCATATTCAGTACAAGAAATAAAGACTTGTACAGTTAAAGAATGACTGGAAATTTCTAAACTAAAAATAAACAACAATATTCCATATGTGTAAGAAATTCTGAAATAAACAACGGATATTCCATATTAGCAAGAAGCTCTGAAACCTGCAAAGTAAATTTTGATATTTTCACAATGCATTGAGTTGATATTTTGAAATTGTACCATAATGGTTTTTATAATTTTTTTTGCAATTAATCAGCTTGATTCAATAGAACACTGAGCTCTAATTACATCCAGGGAGTGGCCTTTTCTAAGTGTTCATAAGATGCTCCAAATATCTAAGACATGGTTCCAAGATAGGTAAGATGGAACACAAATCCTCTAACCAAAGTGAAAGGAAATCACATTTTTCACATCTGAAGATCTCTCATTCCCATAATATCCAGCTCCTTGTAACCACTTTCAGTTAGAGCTGACACAAATGCTGTGTTGACACATGCCCAATTGTAAAATTTCATAAAGGTCAGCTTATCCTAGGAGATCCAGACAGATGTTCAATTGCTTCTAAAGTAGTATAACTGTGCATATCTGACACAGGGTGAAAATTCCAACACAGCAACGAAAATTCCAAAATTAAGCCAAGAGAACACCATTTTTTACTAATGTCAAGTTAGGTGCAAATGTAAGATTGATCTAAGGTTATAATATTGGAGAGGGTTTTTGTTTCCCCTTGCACCTTGTTTATTTGTTTTGAAAGCAAATTTCTAGTTAGAAAGCAAACACTATTGCTAGCTTTGCACATGGTGTATGGAGGGAGGAAATATATTAAGTACCACTTTATTCTAAGTTTCCCAGATAACATTAATACGTGGTAATTATACAATTAGTTGTAACATTAAGTTCTAGTTATAGAACAATGATTACTCAGTAATTATAAGAAGTATATAATTACTCAATAATTATGAGAAGTATGCAATTACATAACCATTTTGTTCAGCTCAAAAAAAGAACATGTACATCTCCAGGAGTCTTGCAGCTGAGTGAGTCGAGTGTTCTCTTATCCCTGCCAGCAAAACAGCTCCATTCACAGCCCTGAACAATAAGGATCTCCACCTTCAGTGAAACTCAAAAATGGCCTTTCAAAATCCCACCAGGATCAACAATTTCAGGTGTTCATTCTTCCTGCCTTCTCTCCCCTCTTTGAAACTTACCAATGTGAGCTCCTCTGTCTTGGGGGGTAAGCCTTACAAAATAAACCCTCTCTCCGCACCCCCTTCAGAAGGGTTGTGCTTTGCCACTTTTCCTGCATACACTTTGTTTTCAATGGGCTGGAAAATGCAGCCCGGTTGGTTCAGCTTCAAGAATCAAGTTAGAAAATGCTAAAAATGATAAGTGCTTCCTATCACGGGTGACCATTCCTCTCTGGTTGCCCTCTGTGCTGACCCCATTTGTGAGTATAAGCGGATAGTACAGGCCCATTTAGGCTTCTGCCTTCTGGAACAACTCCCCACACCCAATCCTAGGCACTGTGAGTCTGAAGTCGAATTTCCTCATCCATGCTCTTTGGCTTTGGTCTGACCCTTTGGGCTTTTACTGGAGGCTACTAAGTTCTTTGCAGGATGGGGTGTCTATATTAGGGGTTGGGGCTTCATCTGTGTCAAAACCATCTGGTGGACTTCATACATATTCACAGAAGTCAATTCCATCCTGTTCTCCCGAGTAATAGAGGGTGGGGACCAGGAATCACATGACCGTAAGCATGCTGAGCTACTGACTGTAGGCTTATTTCCTCCATGTTCCAGCTGGTCTTAAAGTAATGATCAAAATTCAGTTCCTCAGCTTCCAAAAATAGGTTGCACTAGGCATCCTTATTAATAATGCATTTAGAGTCTAGCTTTAGGCTATAAAATGTTTACTCTATTAGTGAAATAGTGCATCTTCAGACAGTATAAAGCTAACTTTTAAATCGTCTTTACAGACTACAAAGTCTACTACACTTGTTCCATAAGAAATTTCAAAATATGCATAAAATCATTTTAAGAATGAATAATCATTAATGCACATCTGAAAACCATACCTTCAGAACTACTGATAACTCTGTTTCTCACTCTCTTACTATTGAAGACACAGAGGCTCTCAGTGTTCTGGCTGATAACCATCACAAAAAATAAAACAGTTTTGTACAGTGCATGTTGCATTTTAAAATTCTACATGGTGTGGGTAGTTCACATTCTAAAGGTTTTTCAAAGAGGTTAATTCATTCAGTCCTATATTTCTATATTAATTTGAAGAAAAAGTGTTAAACGAAGAAAGAAACAATATAAATCGCACGCCCAACAGATTTCACTTGTAGAGAACCTTGTGTCAGCTTCAACCATGAAGTTCCACTAAATTGTTAGCCACACGAATGCCCATATTCAAAGGCCAAAATCTTAAACTTCTCATTTGTTGAATAGTAGGATTTTTCAAGATAATTTTTTTTAAAGCAAAATCCAGCACAAATAGATATTTTCATGTCTATGATTCAGGGATGCGTGAATGATTGCAGTCTTGGGACTCCCCCTGGATGGGGTTCTCCAGATTGAAATAACATAAGTGGGTTTCCTTTCCCATTCTTGTTATAATCATTGTCACAAGAATTTTAATGCATCATATATTCCATAATTTTTTTTTCCTCTGTGCTGTACTGCTTTGACCTTTTCAATATTCTATAATTTGACTGGCTGGCCATTTCTCCTTTTTACAGCCTTATTAACTTGTAGGAAAGAGGTGAAATGAACAGCCAATCAGAATACATAATATTGCAAAGGTCAGCGTAGTCCTGTACGGTCCCGCTGCAGACGGAAGGCTGTATGCCAGGCATTAACATCCTGATATCTTATTCATGTGACAAAGATCGTAACAAGAACAGAAAATGGTACAACATGAATCCATTCTCACGACAAAGATTATAATGAGAAATGACATCGAACAAACCAAACGGCTTCCTGTTACCTTGTGAGGATTTTATATGTCAGACCTGGTTCTGCTTTAAGTTAGCCTTTTTCTGAATCCAATCACACCTTATGGTAGAAAA